CAGTGCCATCTTTTAAATTAATCATTATAAGTTAAATTAAAATAAATTAACTTTAATTTACAGTAAAATATATATACTTACGTATAAGTATTGTTGCAAGATTCAAGTCTTTAAACCTACGTTTCTTTTTCTTTCCGGCCCAACTGAAATATTGAGCTAATTCATTTGTTATTGCTTTTTGTAATATATTCCGTATCATAGCATGAGCAGTATTTCCTCCAACGAGTTTAAAGGTATTAATCTGTAAGAAAGTGAAAAAGAGAGAGAGATGAACTTCAGAAGTAATATTAGATATTAGTATAACATTGTACTAATGATTAATAATGTATAAAGAAATGTTTTCCATATATATTANGTACATATATTTGTAAATATAAATTTACACACACACGTACGAATATGCAGAATATCTGAAACTTCCGCCAAGCGTTTATTCAAAACTAGAAACAAGTTCAATCAAACAGAAAAGTCATGCACTCTTTAGCAAATATATTTTGCAATAATTAATGAGTAATCAATTAATAAATCTGAGCAAATGAACGCATGGAAAGTGAAAGACTCTTGTTCTTTGCAAGAGCGCTAGACAGAAAAGTTTCGAGCACTTTACAAAAGAAAGATATTTTATACATAATAAAAAACCAAAATGTGTATTTCTTACAACTCCCAGTTTAAATTTTGTTTCTTGTAATTGTTTTTCAAAATGTGTTAGTTCCAATAATGTTGATATTGGAAAGTGACAATCAAATTCCTGAATAAAACTATTCGAGGATTGCATTTTTTCATCCAACATACAAATTCTATTTTCTATAATATCGAGTTTATATAGTATTTTGTTTATCTTGGTTAAAATCTGTTTCTTAAATTCTGAAAAAATACAAATTAATAAGTAATTATTACATCTACTTTNAAAAAAATATTTTAGTAACTTTATATACTCAGTATATTGTGTGTGTATATGGATGCATATACGCAGCAAACAATTTGATTGTCAGATGTAGCGATTTTGTTGNCAACCGCCAGACCAAATCCATATCCATCTGTGTCCTCTGTAAGATATAGTTTTGGTGAGTTTTGGTGATCATGTTACGTTTTTTGTGTCTGTGTGTTAACAGCTTTGGCAGCACACAAACATTTTTCCGTATTGTAGCGTTTCTTCACACAGTTTCTGTTGCCAGATCTGTGCAATCAGAAATTGTTTGCTGGGTACATGTGTGCATTAAACAATATATACATATATATATATATATATATATATGTTTACTACGCAAAATATTGTTTAATCATTATAAAATATAACAATTAATATTTTTCAAAAAGAAATACCATTTTCATGGATATTTTCTGTCTCGATATTTTTAGTGAAGTTTTCTGTGAGATATCTTGTTTTTCGCTCGTTTGTAGTAAGTTTTTTATTACTACTTTTATCTGAAACAGTAAGTAACTTAGTCAAAATATACGTTGTAATTATAATATTATATGTTAAAAAAATATGATATAATTAAATATTAAATATTATATATATATTAAAANTCATAAAAATTAAAACTAAAACTTTAACATAAAAATTGTGTTTTTTAATAGTCTTTGTATTTTTTTAGAAGTCTTTTGTCATTTGTTAACAAGTTATGCATATTGTCTTTATATTTTTCATAAAAAATAATAACAATAAAGTACCATAAAAAATTTCTTTCTCGATGTTCTTAGTAGGTTTTTCTATACAAAATTCTTCCCTGTCGTCTGTATCAGTTATTTTATCAATATTGTTATCTAAAAAGAAAAAACTTATTTGTGATGTGTTTTAATTTAAATAATATTGTTTATAAAGCTCACATATTGTACTTACCAGTTATGCTTATTACATTATCACAAATTTCGTGTAATACATTATTTTTCTGTAAATATTTGTTAGTCTGATTGATCACTTGGCTACTTGGCACAAATTGTCTTAATTCTGGAAAAGCAGGCATTGTATTAACCTTATTATGTTGTTTTATACGATTTTCTTTATCATCGTTTAAACATAAATTTTTATCCGAAGAAGATTCC